TGGCACAAACAGAGTAATATTGTGTATGTTGTTCAGTGTCAGGAGGGTGATCAGTCTTACATCGGGGAAACAAAACAGCCACTGGCCAAAAGGATGGACCAGCACAGAAGATCAACATCATCAGGCCAGGACTCTGCGGTCTACACTCATCTCCAGGCCAGCGGTCACTCTTTCAGGGATGAAGATGTTCACATCCTGGACAGAGAGGAACGATGGTTTGAGAGAGGAGTAAAGGAGGCCATCTTTGTGAAAAGAAACCGTCCATCATTAAACAGGGGTGGAGCCTCCAGGTTCAACTGTCCCCCTCTTACAATGCTGTGATTGCTAGTATCACTCAGCCCTCTGTGAACAGTAAACAGCCATCAGGTGCTAATGATCCATTGTTAGGCTGATGGTCCTTCTTGAGCATGTGATCAGCTGGTTTTGGTTGTCAGCAGCAAACTGGTTGATCCACTCTGAGAAGGTGCTATTTATAAGACAGAGTTTGTTGCAGCTCCTCAGACTGAAGAAGTCTTTCGGATGAAAGATGAAATGTTTCAACAAGAAGAATCTGTCCAGAGGACCTGACTCAACCTCGTTAGATTTTTCTACCTGGATTATTGAGCATGCATCAGGAGATATAAAAAATACTTTGATTCCAATATTTTGGGTCATATAATTAAATCTAATGCTCAAACAACTTTCTAAAATCAAATGAAATTGTCGTGAAGTGTAGTTTTGGTAGTATGAAACAAAAGCTTCAAAACATGCTTCGAACCCTGCAGTAAAATTACATCGGAGCACTGAAGCTTCAGAGCCTGTGTTGATGCGGAAAAAGTCACGTGACACGTGACGTCCGAAACACAAACTGTTTCGTTGTCAGAATGAATCTCTTGACTGGTTCGAGGTCCAAACAGCTGATTCCCTGGCACCGCCTCGTTCTGACAGGTGACAGGTTGAGAAAGTTTTGAATTGAGAGCTCAACACTATGAAACAGCTGTAAAACGTTTGCAATGTGTTGGAGAGTAGGTGTGTTTCTGCTGTTGTGTTGAAATGGAATAATTATAGAGGCAGCCAGGAAAAGAGGTCGTTCTAACATGTGGGAACTCTTCATTCTGCTCATGATAAGGTGGTTTTAAATGTCAAAAAAGTTATAGTAATGTTCAGCAGTGAAGATATTATCTAACCCATTTAACCCATGTATTTAATATAATTACAGTAAAATGATGTATGTGATTTTAATAATCATATATCAGTATGGGCTCAATTTAATTTTTTTAAATTTACATTAGTGTATTTGTGCAGGTGCAGTGTTTGGTGTGTTCAACTGAACTGAAGCATCATGATACCTCCTCTATGATTAGACACTTCAGCTCCAAACATGGAGATGCTGGAGACGTCATTTCATTGTTATTTTAAGAACGATAAAGACTCGGACTCTGCCACAGTTACACAAGCACAATACCATTGCAACATTTTTATTAAATCTCTTCAATGCACATTTATCAATCTTTATTCAAAAACATGTAAGCATGAATAAATTTTCAAACCAGACAACATAGAAAGTTGATGAATTTTTAAAAAAAAATCTGTTTTTTACCACAGTAAAGTAGTTTCTTTAACACTAGTCACTGAAGTTCTTCAGTGTGTGCCACCAAATGCCTAATTTGACAGCAGCATTGCAAAATGCCACAAGAGGTCACTGTAACTGAAGCTTCAACAAATTAACCTAGGGCTAAAATGAACCTATTTTTGAAACAATTGGCCCAACTGGTTCAATGCTTCATAAAAGCTTCATTTGCTCATCACTTCTGGTGTGGTTCAGACCCAATGGTGCAGGCAGCACGACGACTCGGCAGGTAAAATTATAATGTTTTAATATAAAGACCGCAAAATAGCTGACAGGGCAGTAAACTGAGCCCCCTGCTGTACTGTCTCTACACCCATGACTGCAGCCCGGCCCACAACAACAACCTCATCGTCAAGTTCGCTGATGACACCACAGTGGTCGGACTAATCTCTAAGGGAGATGAGACATTTTACAGACAGGAGGTCCTGGAGCTAGCAACCTGGTGCTCAGAGAAAAATCTGGCTCTGAATATCAAAAAAACCAAGGAGGTGATTATTGATTTCAGGAAGCACAGCACCAACCTAGCCCCCCTTTACATCAACGGCGAGTGCGTGGAGAGGGTTCACACTTTCAGATTTCTTGGTGTCCATATCTCTGCTGACCTTAACTGGAAAGAGAACACCACAGCGGTCATCAAGAAGGCTCAGCAGAGACTACACTTCTTAAGAGTCCTTAGAAGCACAACTTGAACACAAAACTGCTGCTGACCTTCTACCACTCGTCCATCGAGAGCCTGCTGACCTACTGCATCTCAGTATGGTACGGCAGCTGCACCCTGGCTGACGGAGAGGCTTCAGAGAGTAGTCAAGACAGCACAAAAGATCATTGGCTGCCCTCTCCCCTCCCTGATGGACATTTACACAAAAAAAAGAGTGGCTCTTAATTTCATTGTACTGCGTATAATGACAATAAAGGCATTCTGATTCTGAAACTTACATACGCAGGGATCACTGGGAACTCAGGAGGCAAGAGGTAACAGGAGACAGTGCCAGGACAATCATACACACAAGGACACAGACTTATATACACAAATACACAGGGAGGCGATCACAAACACCTGGACGGCACGAGGGTGGAAACAAACAGGGAGACCAGGGGTGTAGGGATGGGACTCGCCACAAGGGGGCACCATCGTTACAGAAATTCAATAAATGTGGCACAAAAACAAGTTACATTCTTGAATATAAGACTTAAACCAGTAAAAAAAAAAAAAAAATTTTTTTAAACAAAACCAAAACAAGAGCTTTGCTTTGCTTTTTTAACTGAAGAAATAATGAAAGGTGATTATTAGATTTTTTTAAACAAGGAAGTGAACTAGACAAAACAATCATACTCCCAGTTCTAATCTAATCTTTTCATAAGCTAAAGTAGACAGCTGAGGCATGCACGCTATAAACTCTGTGTACATGTAGTCTTACCCAACATGATGTGTCCTCAGGTCTAAAACACAACACAAAAGTTTTCTGCTGAAGTCTCCATCAAACTAGACCTGAGCAGAGCGCCCACTCTGCCACCCTGAAAGGAAGAACACAAGAAGCATCAACAGTGGAGCACAGGCACATGGAAATATATAAATGTAAGAAAATCAAATGCCACTCAAAAAACATTAGCACCAGGCCTGGATGAGTGTTTAAAATACATATTAAACAGTCCAATCAGCAAAATAAACAAAATCAAATGAAGACAAATAATTATATATTTTTTAGCCTGCTTGGATGAAAATAGTCATTTAACGTCAGTAAAATAAAAAAATAAAATAAAGACAAATAATTATAATTTTAGTAAGATTAAACCTGTGTCAATTTGTATAAGAAATGGTATCGCAAATAACGATATTTACTTGATGCAAAAGAAGACTAACCAATCGGGTGGTCAAAGAATATTTAGTTAAATTAAATAAAAAATATGTTTGATTTGAACATATTAATTCAAAAAGAACTAATAAAAAGCAAAATACTATCTTGTGGCAGGAATAAGCATATACTTTTTATTCCTATACCCACTTTTTCCTGTTCAGTAAAGTCTTCAGCTGACTTTTATCCTTAACCAAAGTTCAGCACACTGTTAGATTTATTGGTACACATATATTTACAACAGATACACTTCAATGGGCACGCACACGTGCACACACATATACATACATATAGAGTGAAACAATAACATGTACAACATAAAAATAGTATGTGTCCATCCTATTTATACCTCAAACTAAACTGCTAACATAAAAATACAAAAAACAGACAACGTTTTGAAAGTAGGATTTTGTATGTAAAGCTTTAAAAAAAAAATTCATCTCCTTCGAGCCGGATTCGAACCAGCGACCTAAGGATCACTGTTGTAACCTCTACAGTCCTCCGCTCTACCAACTGAGCTATCGAAGGGATGTTGAACAGGACGACGCGACTACTTTACTTAAAGGGATACGGACATGTTGGGACTGCTAGCCATGTAAAATAGTTACACACATAGACATTAATACAAATCGTATCACATTAATGTCGATGGCTACACCCACAGATGGCTACACCCACAGATAGCTACAGCTACAGCCGGTAAATGACCAAAGCCGAGGAACATGTCACTTCCTCCTTTTGTTTGGTTGCCAAATGGTGCGTTCAGGTATACTGGGAAGAGAGAAGATCCGAGTTCCGAGTCGAAACTTTCCGATTGGCTTCAACTCCTGTTATATACAACTTTTCTACAGTACTAGTCTGGTACAAAACAGACAAAACAAAGTACTGTGTAGTGTATGAAAGACAAGCGGGGTCAAAACACGTGACTTTTCGCGTGACTTTGACGTGTTGAGCCTCTCGGCTGCCCGCCAACAGCTTAATGTCATCTGGTAACAAAAATATGTCGTTATATCACCTTATGTTTGTATGTTTTTATTTTAAAATATTTACTACATTTGTCATCATGTGCGTGTGGTAGTACTTTACATATAAAGCCTGCCCATACTTGTCAAAGACATGTAATCTGTGCCAGAAATGGAGACATTACACATGTTCACACGGTTCTATCATGACAGTAGCTTGACCCCCTGTGGGGTCTCTGCTCTCAGGTCTGCAAGTCAAGTCAACTTTATTTATAGAGCACATTTAAAACAGAACCTGTTATGAAAGTGCTCAGGTGGTAACAGCTCCCAGTGTGACAAGTGCATGATGGGATACTGGGGCCTTCATGAATACGACTGAACAGGGAACATGACCCCTACATCAGTAATTTAATCCCTGGGCCAGGACTTCAACATATGTATTAGCAAATATAAATGAAGATAAAGTGATTGATGAGGGGAGACATCTCTCAGTTATTAACTCTGAGTGAAGCTCCACTACGACTTCTTCTTCTTCTTCTGCGGCACAGTTCAGTCATGCAGGTCCTGCTTGCAGTCTGCAGCCACTCGGGACACAGCAGCACCAAAAGTGAAACAGACGGCACTCTGTGGGGCAAAGAAGCTTTTCTCTGCACTGCAGCACTCTGGTGAGACTCTCACACACACACCAGCCTGCACACACACCAGCCTGCACACACACAC